AGGGAGCCCGATGCGGGGCTCGATCCCAGGACCCTGGGATCATGACCTGAGCTGAAGGCAGACGCTTAACGACTGAGCCACCCAGGTGCCCCCAGAAGCTTTTTATTTTGATGTAGTCCCAATAGTTTATTTTTGCTTTTGTTTCTCTTGCCTCAGGAGACATCTAGAAAAATGTTGGCTGTGGCCAGTGTCAGAGACCTGACTGCCTGTGCTCTCTTCTAGGATTTTTATGGTTTCAGTTCTCACATTTAGGTCCTTAATCCATTTATTTCTGTGTATGGTGTAAGAAAGTGGTTCAATTCCATTCTGTTTCATATAGCTGTCCCAATTTTCCCAGCACTATTTGTTGGAGAGACTATATTTTTTCCATTTCTTGCCTCCTATGTCAAAAAGTCATTGACCATATAATCGTAGGTTTATTTCTGGGCTCTCTACTCTGTTCCATTGATCTATGTGTCTGTTTTTGTGCCAGTACCATACTGTTTTGATTACTACAGCTTTGTGGTATAATTTGAAATCTGGGATTGTCATACCTCCAATTTTGCTTTTCTTTTTCAAGATTGCTTTGGCTATTCAGAGTCTTTGGTTCTATACAAATTTTAGGATTTAGTTGTGAAAAATGCTGTTGGTATTTTGATAGGGATTGCATTAAATCTATAGATTGCTTTGGGTAGTATAGACATTTTGTTTTTTATATTTATTTAAATGTATTTATTTGAGAGAGTGAGCACAGGGGGTGGTGGGAGAAAAGAGAGGCAGACTCCGTGCTGAGCGCAGAGCCCAACGCAGGGCTCCATGTCACAACCCTGAGATCATGACCTGAGCCAAAACCAAGAGTTGGACGCTCAGCTGACTGCGCCACTGAGGCTCCCCTAGTTATGGACATTTTAACAATATTTGTTCTTCCAATCTATGACCATTGAGTATCTTTGTTTGCGTCATCTGCAATTTCTTTCATCAATACAGTTTTCAGAGTACAGGTCTTTCACCTCCTTTGTTTATTCCTAGGTATTTTATTATTTTTGGTGCAATTGTAAATGGGATTTTTTTTTGGGGGGGGTAGTTTTCTTAATTTCTCTACCTGCTGCTTCATTATTGGCATATAGTAATGCAGATTTCTGGAGACTGATTTTATATCCTGCAACCTTACTGAAATCATTCATCAGTTCTAGTAGTTTTTTGGTGGTCTTTAGGGTTTTCTCTATGTAGTATGGTGTCATCTGAAAATAGTGAACGTTTTACTTCTTCCTTTTTTCTTTTTTAAATACTTATTCATTTATTTGACGGAGCACAAGCAGGCAGAGGGCAGAGGGAGAGGGAGAGGCGGGCAGAGGGAGAGGGAGAAGCAGGCTCTCCACTGAG